AACTATCTAAAAATAATATTTGAAATATTATAAATATGAAAAATATAAAATAATATATTAAAATTGCAAATATCATAAACTAAAATTAGAAAATCATATTGAATTCCAATCTAACAAAATACAAAACCTAATAAATTAAACCTAAAAATAAAATTGCAACAAAATAACCTAAATTTTACAATTTCAATCTCTAAAAATCAAATGCAAAACTTAATAAAATTCAATTAGAAAATACAAATCAAATATATTAAAATTGCAAATATGATATAGTAAAATTATAAAATCATATATTTAATTTGCAAATATCATAAACTAAAAATTTCAATCTCTAGAAAATCAAATACAATTTAAACTAAAAATAAGATTAAAACAAAAAAAAATAAAATTGCAACATAATAACCTAAATCTAACAATTTCAATCTCTAATAATCAAATACAAAACCTAATAAATTTCAATTCTAATTTGTAAATCAAATACAAAACTAATAATTTCATTCTCTAAAACTAAAATACAACATCTAATAATTTTCAATTCCAATCTCTAAATCAAATACAAATCTAACCATTTCTAATTCTAAACTCAAAAAAAAATATTTGAATCTAAGTAAGAGGAGATTCTTACAGTGGTAGATCCGGCGGTGAGGATGCGACTTAAGCGGCAAGACACGGCGGCGGCTAGAAGAGAAGATGGCGACGGATGCGGCAGCGAAGAGAGAGTGTAGCGACAGCTGGGAGCAGACAGATCTAGACCCGCAGCGAGCAGCAGAGCAGCGAAGAGGCGAAGAGAACGCGACCAACAGAGCAGCGGAGCGAGAGGAAGCAGCGATCGTGAGTGTGGTGTCGAGGAGGAAGAAGACGACTTTTTAGAATTAATAAAGGGATCCATCGCAATCCTGTCACAAAACCAACATGACTTGTTATTGATATTGATCATTGTCGTGCAGCTCAATCGAGATCAATATCCTCCCACCAAACTTTTTTAACTTTTCCAGCAATCTGCCTATCTGGGCAAACATATCTGGCACGTTAACATGATAATTCGGTGCTTCTCCTCCATCATCATATCGCTTAGTGGCAGTCTTTTCCGTCCGCACCGTTGGACTGAAGTAGTATAAGGTGAAGTGAGAAGTTTCCTCGGTCAAACTTCCAGCAACAATCGATCCCTCCACTTTAGCAAGATTTTTAGCCTTCCTTTTAAAATGAAGGAGGGAAAACCTTTTCTAGGTTACAAAGCAACACGGCGATATTCTCTTCTAGTTGGGCGATGCCCTCCTCAGTCAATGTCCGCGTGCATAAATCCCTAAAAAAGATTCAATGCCTACATGAAGATATATATAGTTAATAACTTACTGAAATAGGCATTAATTAATAGTCTTAACTTATAAAAAGAACATTATATAATTTTTTTTTCTTATTTTACCTGCAATAGCTTCATGGCTTTGTTTTGGCAAGAGCTCGATTAGTGCAAACGGTAGCAGTCGCTGCATGAATACATGGCAATCATGGCTCTTCATACCTGAAAATTTCTGGCCTTGCTCAACACATCTTGAGAATTTTGACACATATCCATCTTGAAACTTAACATCAGAATCAACCCACTCCTATAATGCCCGCTTCGCCTCTCCGGACAATCGAAAGTTTGGAACAGGTAATTTTCCCTCGCTTGTAATATGCAACTCAGGTCCTACAGATAGTTCAGGCAAGTCCAACCTTGATTTCAAATTGTCTTTGCTCCTTCCCTTGACATTCAAGATTGTATTGGCAATGTTATCATTTTTTTCTCGATATGCATCACATCAAGATTGTGTGAGAGGATATTTTGCCAATACGGAAGCTCCCAGAAGATACTCTTTTATGCCAATTATGATATACGGTATATCCGTCAGGCATGTTAGCTGGTGTGTGCCAATTTCCCCCTACTTTACACTTTCCTGAGCACCATAGTGTTCAACTTGCTCATACAATTCATTGCCTGATGGATAAACGGGGGGAGGGATACGCACAACCTTGTTCCTCCTAAACAACCTCTTGTTTTTCCGGTATGTATGACTCAACGGAAGAAATATACGATGACAATCAAACCAACATGGCTTTCTTCCATTCTTTAGTTGAAACGCATCTGACATATCCAGATAATATGGACAAGATAATCTTCCATGCGTAGTCCACTTTGACAACATTCCATACGCTGGAAAGTCACTGATAGTCCACAATAACACTGCACACATGTTGAAGTTCCATTGCTGCGAGTTGTCAAATGTGCGAACACCCAAATTCTATAACTGTTTCAACTCATGAATAAGAGGCTGTAAGAACACATCAAGTGCACGCTTTGGATGCTTAGGACCAGGAACTAGAATACTCATGAACAAAAATTCTCTTTGCTTGCACATATCAGGAGGAAGATTGTATGGTGTCAAGATGACAGGCCATAGAGAATATTGTCTCCCAGACATACCAAATAGAGTAAATCCATCAGTATATACACCAAGATAGACATTTCTAACCTCACTAGCAAAGTCTGATATACCGTCTGAAAGTGCTTCCACGCCTTTGCATCTGAAGGATGTGTAACCTCTCCATCCTCTATAGAATGTTCTGCATGCCATCTTATTGTCGACGCCGTCCTTTCTGAGTGGTATAACCGCTTCAATCTTTCAGTAATTGGCAGGTACCACATACGTTGGTATGGAACCCAAGTTCTTCCAGTAGTTTCTTGATATCTCAGCTTTCCACAAAATCGACATTCCTGTAGCTTGTCCTCGTCTCTCCATAATATCATGCAATTATCAATGCATACATCAATCATTTCTGATGGTAAGCCAAGACCCACAACCAACCTCTGTATTTCATAATAATTCTCAGCAGAAAGATTATCAGCCGGTAGGTACTCTTTAAAAAGTTCAGCCCATGAATCCATGCAAACCTCAGAGAGATTATTATCAGTTTTAATTGTCATCATCCTAGATGCCAATGACAGTTTCGACTGCCCTTCTCTACATCCATCGTAGATAGGCTGATTAGCAGCATCTAACATAACATAAAACTTTTTTGCATCTATGTTGGGTTTTTCCCTAATATTATCAACAAATGAGGTTGCTGGAGCTTCATGCATTGCATCTACAACCATATCATGAAACCTATTCCCTTGTTGATACCCTTGATCTATATTTCCAAACATATTCTGCCCATAATGTTCTTAATCAGCATTATAATTGGGCTGCTCTAAACCCTGACCCATACTACTACTACTACTGCCGACCGTAGCAACACTACTATCTTCCCCATGCAAAAACCATGCGTAATAGTTCAGCATAAATCCTCTATTATATACATGCTTCTTCACGGTATCAATTTCTAATTATGGCACATTCTTGCACTTCCTACATGGACAGAATATTTTACCGTTTTCCCTTGCAAATAATTAGTTTATCGCCTGGTATAAGAATGCTCGAAACTCATTCCGAAACTCTTTTGTCACCTCGCCGGTCTCCTGATCTCGATGATTGTACATTCATGATCGTAACGCATACATACTATGCTCTGAAGATATTTTCTCAATATTTTTTTTATCACTTCTCTTAATTTTTCTTTTCTTTCTTTCTTTCTTTCTTTCTTTCTTTCTTTCTTTCTGTTGTGATTCTTTCACTAACTCATGAAGGCTTTTTATAGACGTTCAGAAATTTTGTGACGGCCTCGCGACGAAATCTGCGACTGATCTTCGACACCATACAATATTGCAAGCCATTTACAACGGATTTGTGATATAGAACCGACTGATATGTGACTCCGTACTTAATTACTTAGGCCGGTGGGAATTGAGTAAAACGTGGTTCACCTACTTTGCGTATCCACGCAGATACATCGCAAGTTAGTCACAAAATTGCGACAGAATTTATTCTTCGCTATTTCGTCGCAATTTGCGACATACTTTGCGACCGCCATGTAAGTTCGTCGCAATTGCCCCTTTCGATCGCAAGTTTGTCGCAATATCGTCGCAATACTGCGGTATATTTGTGACGGCTATGGATGTCGCAATTTTGCGACAGAGTTGCAACATACTTATTTTCTTTGGCAAGTCCGTCGCAAACCCATCGCAAATTGCGACTACCCCTCGCCGTCGCAAATTTCCGTCCCTAATTTCTGACGCAAATAGACTGTTTTCTTGTAATGCATTTTTCTACCTTTCAAACGCAATCACTACATATCATATCATCTTGTTCTTATCTTTACTGGAATCTAGATATTCCTCCCGTAAAACCCCCATTTTTCTACCATAGTTAGCCAATTTACCAGGAGTATGTCTAGGAAACTGAGGTAGTTCTACACCAAACCTTTCAAATTGTTCCATGACGTACAGTCATGCCATTTGATTCCTTCTGAATGATAAGAGTATAAAACATTCTCTATCACATCTTGTGGTTGTTCTTTCAGATTGCGGTGTGGAAGTTTCTTCATGGTTCTAAAGGAACTGATGTACTACCGACGAAATAGTCGATATTACACATAGTCATCGTGGCTTGAGAAGACACTGCTGGTCAAGGTGCTTGCTTCCTCGTTCCATATGACTTTGATAGGATTCAAGTCTTTGTTTACTCAGTAAGCTATAGTTATGAAAGCGATAATGACTCTCTTAGCTTCTGCATCATCTAGGTAACACGATAAACTACTGTTTTCGCACAAGCTCGCCATAGCTTCCAAGATCTGTGCTCTTGGACTAGATTATTTAAAGATAAGTAAAATCCAAAATTTGGGATTTTATTATTTCTATAGATTATATAAATATCCAATGTTTTGAAATCTGGACCAGACTTGTCGGTCGAACCGGTTTAACCGCGTAATAATTACCTTTATAACTAAAATATCAACATAGGATGATTCGGATGTCCTTTTTTATTTTGCTAAAAGATATAGATATATCCTTTTTATTGGTTGATTAATTAATGGAAGATTCTTTCTAGTCATGTACGATTATTTATAAATAAGAGTATAAACCAAAAATGCCGCACAGTGTCGAAGGCCGAGGATTCGATTATCTCTTCCCCGGTTTAATTCTGAGCCACGAAGCTGTGTCTTTTACAAAGCGTCTCACAACCCTAATCTCAGTTTACACACAGAAGAAGCTTTGCCTGGTCCTTGACTTGGACCACACGCTATTCCACTCTGTTATGATTCCAGATCTTTCTGAAGCAGAGAAGTATCTAATCAAAGTAGAGAAATCAGGTTCAATGAATAATCTAAAAAGATACTGTGACAATTTAATAAAGATTCGACCTTTTGTTAAAGAGTTTCTTAGAGAAGCCAACAAGCTTTTCAACATGTATGTTTACACAAAAGGCAGTTATGAATACGGTCATGCTGTTGCGAGAATGATTGATCCGAACGAAATCTATTTCGGGGATCGAGTGATAACTAGGCAAGAGAGCCCATACATAAAGACACTTGATCTTGTCTTAGCTGATGAGCGTGGAATTTGATTCTGGATGATACTCTTGATGTTTGGCCTGAACACAAGAGAAACTTGATGCTGATCCCTAAATACTTCTATTTCAAAAGAAGAGGTGCAAAATCATCGTACGCGGAGAAGAAGAGAGACGAGAGTAAAAACGTAGGAACATTGGCGATTCTTCTGATATTCCTCAAGCAGATTCATAGTGGATTCTTTAAGTGTGGACTTGGAGAAGATTTAGATTCGAAGGACGTTAGATCTTTGATAAAGGGTCCACATATATGTTGACTTGTATCGAATTTTTGGAACTTTTGGCAAACAAATTTTGAATAAATTTAGGATTTTGATTATTCCATATTTTAAGAATTAATATCTAGGGTCATGAAACTGTAAAGAAACTAAAAGGTGACTTTAAAATTCCTTCACCCACTATGGGCCTAAAACTTTAGGTGCAGCATAAGAAAGTTCAAGTTAGCGCAGAGCTTTGATTCCTAAACTTTTATGCTTTAGAAAAACAGTTAAACCATCTCCAGTCATCAATATCTAAACTAGAGTATCTAAAGTATAGTATATTATCATAGTATAATTTAAAATTAAATATTAAAAACTAAACCAATGAAATATAAACACATGACTATTTGAGGTAAGAACCGTTATTCAAATCTTTTAAATAAGAGCCATTTCTTCTCCTCTCTCCTTCTTTTCATTATTTTTTTTTTAAAAAAAATTTTAGATACCCATTTAAGAAACTAGGGATGAAGCTGCTCTTATATCTCCTTATGGTACTGACTTTTTCTAGCTTATTTAATTACTTCTCGTGATTGGTCTAACTCTGATAGAGATTAATATTCAAACTGTATTTTTAAAAGACTTTGTGGTTATTTTAAAATTTCATGTTATTCAACTAATGATTTCTAAATATCTTAACAATAGCTATGTTATTGAACATAAAATTTCTATAAAACCAATTAAAATCACTTAAACTTCCATGTTATTCAATCAAAAATTTATAAAAACAAAATCTACTCCATTATTACTGGAATATTTTAACTAGTGAATTTTAGAAAATATTGAATGCTTTTAAATGATTTGGTGGAGTTAGTTAATTAAAAATATAACAAACCAAATCTCACTGAGATTTCAAATAATTTTAATATCAAATCATATCAACTTCTCAAATTAACATAAAATATATCATCCAATCGTTTTAACATTACTTGAGGCCTCGAGATATCTCAATCGACCGACCAATCAACCCAAGTCAATTTCAACTCATCAGTCAGATGTTCCAACCGACCCAAGTCAAGTTCAACTAATCAATCAGCATAGCCAATCGATCAATCAGCATATCCAACTAAGAATTAAGTTGCAGCGAAAATGGAAAATTTTCATTTTTTTTGCAGTTTTCGCCATCTACCACACATATTCACCTAGTCGGCCCTTAGAGTTATATAAACACCAGAGAAACACAAAAACATAATCACCATTCTAGAAGAACCACCATTAAAAATTTCATTGTTTTTCATAGATTTAGGTTTGAGAATTTGCTACTTTATACTTTAGAAAATTATTTCATCATTTTATCATCACCAAAGGTTAGTTTCTGAACCTCATTCTCTTTTATTCATCAGTAATAATATGTTTACAATTTCTTTGATGATTATATGGGATTAGTCACTTATTAAGATTAGCTATTAAGGGTCTCTAGAAGGGAATCATCATGGTTTCATAGATAGGTTTCTGATTCTAGAGCTCTTACATATAAAGTAGAAGAAGATTCTCTGTCTTTCCATGACAATATGCATATTTCTAGACTGATCATACATCATGATAGTAGGATAACATTACCTACAAATCACTTGATTGTTATCCAAAAATGGAATTAATAGGCTAGGTTTTTAGGATAACATTTCTAAAGGTGGCAGTGAAAAATAACAAACTTTTTTATTCATCTCTGTCTTGCTTTACTTATGTTGCATTTGACACATGTAACCTATATTATTATATGACAATCAATTTTAAGTCACCATCATATGGAAATTATTAAACTAAGATGTATTTCGACTTTGGAATGAGCCATGACCATAAAGATTCCTTGTCATCCTAACGTTTTAAATAATAAGTTTTACATCCTTAGAAATTATTATTTACTTGCTATTTGTTTTCATTTTATTTATGTCATTCTACTTTCATTTGCATCAAACCTCATCACCACATTTCGACATAGCTTTCTTTTAATTTTGAAACCATTGTGCACTCAAAACTCTATATCAATTCGAGACTTAAGGTAATACAATTGATTGTTGTGCACTTACTTCATATTGAGTTTTATTTAAAAAAAAATTTTGCTTACACATCTAAATGGCAGAATGGCTCATTGGTTGGAGAAGAAAGGAGAGCAAAAAAGTGGCTAAGGAAGAAGATGTGAAGCTCAGGAGAAACACTTCTTGAGAAACAGTGTTTCCTTGGTAACTTAAATAATCTCAAAGTGATATTCTTTCACTTTCAGATATTTTATATCCTGTATTCTATTTGTGATTGTCATTTCTAAATTGTTTTTAAATTAGAATATTATGAATCAATTTTGCTTACTGAAACTTTAAAAAAACGTAAATTAAATAAAACTTTTGATAAAATATAAAAAAAAATAGAGATAAAAACTTTTAGATCTGATATCAAATGATATAAGATGAAACGGGTGATTTTATAAATGGTGTTGAATTAGTGGGATCAAGCAACTGATCGCATAAATCTTTCTACTTGCTCAAAAGATGGTTGAAGTGGGGCGGTTGTAGGATCAAATCTGCTTGTTTCAGAACTCTTTCAGGCTGGATTGGGGGATAAAATAGATAGACGGGGGATTGAAGAAAACCACTCAAAAAAGTAAGACGCATAAGAACGATGTTTTGGGGTGGTTTCAGGTTTATGGTGGATCAAATTCCGATAAGATTATACAGAAACCACACAGATAAAGCCGTAGCCTACCCAAGTTTACAACCTTTGAGTTTAAAAGCTAGTCTATGGAACAGTGAGAGTTGGACTACACGCGTTGGGCGTGACAAGATTGATTGGTCTTAGGGTCCATTTGTGGCATCCTTTGGCGATTACAAGATATATGCCTGTGTTTGGAAAGGAAACCCAAGATCATGTAGTGAAGAGAGCAATGCAAATTTGTGGAATAAGAATGAGTTTAGTTCTTTGACAAGAGTGCAAAAGAGAAATGGTTTAAATGGGTGAGGAAGTACCACTTGATATATGATTATTGCCAAGATTATGCAAGGTTCCATAACAACCTCCCCAAGGAATGTTCTCTTCCTAGATATTGACTTTGCAATTTCTCTTCAGCTTTTAATTTTTACTAGGTATTTAGCTGCGTAATGCTGCGGGATATTTATAAAATTTATATATATTTTTTTAATATAATAAAATTATTTTATAATATAAATGAATATTATATTTTAGTTTTATTATCTTAAGTTATGTATTTATTTGTTTTAAATCTGAATGAAGATTGTATATCTTTAATTTTTTTTATTTTTCAAAATTGTAATTTGCCATCAAATTTGTTTAACTAATTAACTATAAATGTATATGTAAGAATAAAGTAATACATTTTTAAGTATCTTCATTCTAATGACAAATATAATTTAATTTCTCCACTAAATTACCACTTGATCTTCTCTTTGTAATAATATAAAGCAAAATGCAACTTTAAAAAGATTTATTAAATACGAAAATCAAAAAATTGTATTTTTCCGATAAACAAAAAAAAATTAGTTTTTTTGCGAAAACTGAGAAATCGCATATTCTCATCAAAACCAAGAAATTTCAATTTCTCGTCAAATCAAAAATTATGTTTTCCTACGAAAACCGAGAATATACATTTTCCCAGGAAATATTGTGTTTTCGTGCAAAAACAAAAAAATCGCATTATCCGCCAAAAACTGAAAATTTACATTTCCCATCAATACTGAGAAATTGCTTATTCCCGTTAAAACTAAGAAATTTTGTTTTCCCATCAAACCTAGGAATTGCATTTTTCTGTCAAAATCGTCAAATTAAATTTTCTCACGAAGACTAAAAAATCACATTTTCCCGCGAAAATCAAGAACTCACATTATCCATCAAATATTGAAAATTTGCATTTCCCATCAAAATCAAGAAATTGCATTTTCCGTCAATCAAAAAGTTGCATTTTCCATCAAAACCGAGAAATCATATTTTTCCGTCAAAACCAATATATCTTTTTTCCGTCAAAATAAAAAAAAAATTGTTTTCCCACCAAACCCGAGAAATCACATTTTCCCATCATAACTGAGAAATTCTGTTTTCCCACCAAAACTGAAAATTACATTTTCCTGCCAAAACTGAGAAAACCCCAATTCCCGCCAAAACCGAGAAAACTCCAATTCCCACCAAAACCGAGAAATTCCACACTCCCGCCAAAACCAAAGAAAATTTGTTTTCTCGTCGAACTGAAAAATCATGTTTTCGTAACAAAACTAAGAAATTGCAAATTTCTGCCAAATCGTCAAATTGCATTTTCTCGCAAAAACATTAAAATTGTATTTTCTTGCAAAAACCAAGAAATCGCATTATCCATCAAAACAGAAAGATTGCAACTGAGAATTCGCATTTCCTGTCGAAACCTAGATATTTTATTTTTCCTTCATAACCGAGACATTTTGTTTCCTGTCAAAACTGAGAAAATTTATTTTCCCATCAAACCGAGAAATCATATTTTTCTGTCAAAACTATTTTTTTTTTTATTTTCGCGCCAAAACAGAGAATTCTCATTTTTCCATCAAAACTGAGAATTTTCATTTTCCCAAGAATTTTTGTTTTCCTGTTCAAACCATGAAATTTTTCTTTCACGTCAAAACCGAAAAACAGAGCGAAGACCAAGCAAGAAACATAGGTAATTTTGGCGTTTCCGATGTCAATGGCCCTGAGATTGGTTTTCACGAATGGATGGGAGGAAGCCCGAGCTGCAAAAGTGGAGACAAAGCAGTAGAATAATTGAAACCA